ATTATTTTCCTATTCTTAATATGAAAGATCTGTCATAATAAATATAAAAACCTGAGACTTTCATATTTATCTTGAGTGAGAAATAAATAATCAAAGCACATTTTCTCTCTGCCCCAAACTTCTATCAGTCATGTTTGACTATATTTAGTAGGAACTCCTTTAAATAAGATCTTAAGTAAGCATAAGGAATTTCTTCGTAAGGTTGTAGATCTCCTGGTTGTTTAGTATCAGATCCTGGGATAATTAGGTTTGGTAGTATAGTGGCCAGAGTGTGGGATTCCCAGTAAGGGAGATGTTTGAAGTTATGAACTTAACAGGCTGCTCTAGAAAGGGAATTGACCATTCTCTAGCCAGGACCTCAAAACAAGGTCAAGATAGCATTTATTAAAAAACTAAATATAAGGAAATTTTTTGCTTTTACTTATGAAGTATTAAATGAATAGGATTATATACAATATTTTAATGCATACAGACATGTCTATAAGATTGCGTATATTAACTAGTCTTACTAGTTGTATCTATCTAATTATCTAAGATGTGGAAGTTTCAGTTTGTTGTGGAATGAAATTTCAGTTTGTTATGGAACAAACTATTTTTTCCCTCTTGATCTCTTGATGGCTTTTAGGGGGTTAAAATAACTTCTAGTCATATATTTGATCATTTCAGAATGTGCAATGAGCTTAAATAACAAAATTGCTTACTTCATTTCAGAGTCTCTTAATAGGATTACAGAGGAATGGAGGGGAAAATAGCAGTAGTTACAGAGAATATTTCACAGTGTTGTGGAAGTTGGAGTTCAGTCAAATTGGTAACAGTTCATGACAGAAAAGGTCCATTAAAGTGGACAATGAGGGTTGGGGTTGTAGCTCAGTGGTAGAGCACTTGCCTAGCATGTGTGAAGCACTGGGTTTGATTCTCAGCACCACATATAAATAAATAAAAATAAAGGTCCATCAACAACTAAAAAAAATTAAAAATGAAAAAAAGTGGACAATGATGCTGAGTGTGGTGATGCATGTTTGTAATCCCAGTGGATAAGGAGGCTGAGACGAGAGGATTGCAAGCTCAAGCCCAGCCTCAGCAATTTAGCAAGGCCCTCACAACATTTACATTTATTATTATTTTTTTTAAAGAGAGTGAGAGAGAGAGAAGGAGAGAGAGAGAATTTTAATATTTATTTTTTAGTTTTTGGCGGACACAACATCTTTGTTTGTATGTGGTGCTGAGGATCGAACCCGGGCCGCACGCATGCCAGGTGAGCGCGCTACCGCTTGAGCCACATCCCCAGCCCTACATTTATTATTAATAGTAACAATATTATTTATACTTACTACATTTTTTTTCTCAGGGATTTATGTAAACTTGACAACAAGCACCACATGATGCTTTATTTTATTAATACAAATAATAAAGTGCTGTATATTTTTTATTTTTGTGCCAAAAGCTGTAAGAGTTTTTCTCAGCAGGTATACGATAAATTAATGCCCACCAGAGGATGCTACAACCGCAACAAAGAAAAGCCAACAATGACCTCAATGTGTTCCTAACTGAAGTCAGAGAAACTAATACTTCAGTATTTATGTACACAGTGATGTGTATTTATCTATGACCCACCCACCTTTTGGAAGAAAGGTTGTAGTGAAGAGAACCCAGGTAAATTCAGGGGAGACTTGAGAGATAAAATTAAAGCCTCTTTTGGTGAAGGTCAACAAACTTCTGCTCTCCAGTGGTACCATATTTACTTCTATATACTTAAATAGGGCTTCCTGGCATTGTAAAAAAAAAAAAAAAGAAGAAGAAGAAGAACAACTCTCCAACTGATTGAGTCAGTGACAAATATAGGCAGTGTCCTTCTTAAATGGATAATTCAGATCTTTCGGTGGATGACAGTATGAGAATACATATTCTTTTTCTTTCTTATTTTTATTTTTATCTTCTTTAGAATACATATTCTCTTGAGGCATTCTTTGCAACTCCCTCCTGGACATTATATAATTTCTTCAAGATTTTTATCAATTTCTAAAAGTATCTTATTTGCTTGTGTGTTTATTCATTCGTCTCCTTGTACTAAAATATGAGCCCTTGAACACTTGTCTTGTTTACCACCATATTATTGGCTTCTAGATTAGTATTGGTACATAGTAGGTGTTCAGTAAATATTTGTCGAATGAATGAATTCCACTTCCATTGTGTAGTGATTTCTCAAATGGGAGTATGAATCTTTACAGTTAAATCTCTACTATATACCAGGCAGCAGGGAAATTTATTTAAGAATAAAATTTCAAAGTGTCAAGAGACACTAGTAGGGGCCCTTGAAGTACTAACAAATTTATGGCAAATTTTAAAATTTCACTGGAACTTGACTGTATGTATGTTTGTTTATCTTGCCAACTTTTGTGGTTTAAAGTAACTTTCAGTAAAAGTCATATATAATAGAACAGATTATATAAAAGATGAAAACTAAAAGTAGAAATGGAAAGTCATAATTTTAAAATTTGAGTTAAATTAATTTCCATAATCAAGCATGAATTTTATATTTAAACTTTCTGGTATGCAAAACAAAGAAACACTGGACTTATAATTCTTGTTATCTGGCAAAAAAAACCCACAGTTGACAGTTTAACAAAAATGTTTCTTGATATTAAATTCTAAAAGGAATTTCTCATAAAATTCTTATAGAAGGGACACAGGATTATGTAGTGGATAAAATAGCTAATGTTTGATAATTACTCCCTATATAATCATTTCTTTATTAGAACCTTGTTCATTAAAAATGAACAGATAATATTGAAGTATAATTTATTAAAGGCATTTATTTAGAAATACTAATATCACTTAGGTATACTTTCTAGTAGGGTTACTTAATACAAGTAATATTTGCTTCGTATATCTATATTATTTCAAATTTCATTTGTCTGCACTGACTTCAAAGAGCTAGATAGCAATAAGTTCAAGACGGCTATCTAACTATGATACAAAATCATTTTATACACATAAAATCAGTGTATTTTATATGGTATAAAAATATGGTAGGTAGGTAATAAAGTAGATGATCTATTTTGAGAATTATTGTTATTATTCATCTCATCAGATGAATAATATATTTAATAGCTATTTATACCTTTTAATTTTTTTTATTCATTAGCTCATACTTTGCCAACAACTTGAGGTAATGTCAAGAGGTAAATCAGAATTCAACTCAGAACTTCTGACTTGAAAAATCTCGTGCCTTTTCACCTGATCTAGCCTGTCTTCAAAAATCAAGATGAGTCCCAAGAGTATCTGAATGACAACTACATTTTCTTTTGTACCAGAGTATTTATTATAGTTACTATCTGTAACTGAACTTGTAATTGAACATGGTACAGGTTATTTTGGCTGAACTCTGTTTTGGGGGTAAAGTATTATTGTTATAGCATCTATTATAAAGGAGTTGCCTATATCTTCTGGCCATCTAGTTTTTATTTTACTTATTTAATTATCTTTTCAAAAGACAGGGTCTGGCGGTGTTGACCAGGCTGGTCTCATATTCTTGGGCTCAAGTAATTCTCCTCATCCTCCCAGGTAGCTGGGAATCAGGCATGCACCACCACACCCAGCTGAGTGCTCAAATCTAACTGCTCAGCTTAGTGGATTCTGACATTATGGAGTTGTCCTTATAATGACTGTGAAGAGTCAGGCATGGCTTTCTGTGGGTGTACCAGCTCTGACCTGAGTCATTTCTTTCTTTCTTTCTTTCTTTTTTTTTTTTGTGATACTGAAGATTGAACTTAGGGGTGCTTTATCACTGAGCTACATCCAGACCTTTTTATTTTTTACTTTGAAACAGGGTCTCACTAATCTGCTGAGGCTGGCCTCAAAACTGTGATCCTCCTGCCTTGGCCTTGAGCAAAAAAGGAGAAAGTTAAAAAGTACCTGCAGTGAAGAACAGGAAAAAGAGCTGGTTAAATATCTATATAATTCATTGTAGAAGTAATCAGAAATAATTATTTCTAAAACCTCTTTCATAGTCCATATAAGCCATTACATTACAACATCTAGGTCTATAATGCATTGAGAATAAAAGTGCAATGACTTTTTCATGAAATATGTAGTATACTGTTGGTTCTATTATTGCCCCCGTCCAGTGCAGGTGGCTGAATTAAGGTCACTTGTGTGAATTTGGGATGATGCAAAATAAAACACAGACACAAATTACCTTTACACAAGCTTCAAGATGGCTTTCCCCGGCTCTTGGCCTCAAGCCCCCCAAAAGGGAGAGCAAGAGAAAGTCACAAGAGGCTGACCAGAAAGAGGGAAGCATGTTCGGAAATAGGCTTTTATTTGGGGGGTGGGGGATGCATTTCTTAGAAAGTTCTATCCAAAAAAGGGCAGGATTACAAGGGTTAGGATTACAAGGAAGCAGGTGAGTGTAACTCAACCCCAGCAGATACACCTGAAGTCATATTTTGCTATCCAAGCTGGGGCAACGCCCAAGTCACTACAAAATGTAGTAATTGGTCAAAGCCCCCTACATCAGGACTGGAAGGTGTGTTCATTCAGAGAGGCTTCTCACATTCTACAATTTATAAAGATAGAGGATTGCCCCTTTTATGAAAAAAATGGTAGATTAAACCTCTTAAGTACTGTTTTAGAGAGTGGCATTCCATAAATCTTGTTTTCATTTTATTTGTTGAAAATATTTTCTATTTTAATTCGAGACTTTCTCTTTTTGCTCATGGATTATTTAGAAATGTATTATTTAGAAGTTTCAATGATTTTCAACTATTAGAGAATGTACCACATGCACTTGAAAAGAATATGCATTCTTCTGTTGTTGGATTGAATTTTCTATAGTGTTAATTAGATTCAGTTGACTTATGATGGTGATATGTTGGCTTCCAAGGTTTTCCTGGGGATCATCTCTATTTCAGTCTGGAGAGAGAACGTGGAGAAAAGTAAAATGAGAGGTTTTTGTGACATCACTTCCACTCAAATTCCATTGGTTAGAACTCAGTCACATGGCTTCACCTAATGGTATGGGAAGCTGGGACATGTAGTCTAGCTTTTTGCCTGGGAAGAAGAGGAAAATGTATTTGGACAAACAGCTAGAAATCTCTTTCTGTTCTCTGGAAGAGCTTGTATAAGATAAGAAATACTTGAAAATGGGTATACAATAGAAATTGTAAAGCTACTAGTCCCTGCTGTTTTCTTTGGGGGAAAGTTAGTAACTGCTAATTCAATTTAATGGATACATATTCATTTAGGTTTCTATTACCTCTTGAGTCACTTTTTGTAAGTCATTTTTTAGGTATACATTATTTTATATAAGTTTTAAAATATATTAACATAAATTTATTGAAAGTATTTTATTTATGTCTGTAATTATGCTTTTCTTCATTTTTAGTATTGTTAACTTATGCCTTCAAATATTTTAATTTGGTTAATCTGACTAGAGATTGGTCAATTTCAGAAGTCTTCAACAGAATCATAATTTTTATTTCATTAACTTCTGTTTTTTTATTATTTCCTTCCTCTATGTTATTTGGGTTTATTATTATATTATCATTATCATTATTATTATTGTTATTATTATTATTATTTGGTCTTTTTCAACTTGCAATTTAGATGCTAAATTCATTGTTTTTCAATCTTCTTTTCTAACATATGCATTTAGAGCTATACATGTCCCTTAGATTTTGTTATACGTGTGTTGTTGCAAATACTTATACATAGTACTTTTATTATCAGCTAGTTTTATTGTTTTCTAATTCCCATAGATTTATTATTTAATATGAGCCATTTTCAGTGCGATTTTAAATTTCCAGAAGCATGGAAGCTTTTCTTAGGCTATATTTTAGATTATTAATTTAGAAATGAATTTTATTATTGTCAGAGAATTGATATATATATATAATATTAATTTTATAAATCTTGCTTTATGACCTGCTATATTTATTTTAAATTTAAAATACCTTTCTGTTTATTATTATTATTATTATTAATTTCTTGAAACATTTTCTTATTTCATACTGTAATTTTTTGAGACAGTATGATTCTCATTATTCAAGGGAGAACATTAAAATTTGATCAACATAATGGGTAAAAATTTCAAGCTCACAGGTCCAGTTAAGCTTATATCCAATCAAAGAAGACACACACTATAAAAAAAGATCAGTATGGACAACTTTATGTACTGCTTGTGTATCAACTCTGCTTATATTTTATTATAGAATTTTAAAACTTAGGGTGAGAATTTTTATTTAAACAGATTTTTTAAACTTCCTATTGCCTATCTTTTTGGTGTTCTGCACAATGTCATCCAGAGTGAACTACTGGTATTCTACAGATATTTCTTTTTTTTTAATATCTTTATTTTATTTTTATGTGGTGCTAAGGATAGAACCCAGTGCCTCATGCATGGTAGGCGAGCGCTCTGCCTCTGAGCCACAACCCCAGCCCCTCAACAGATATTTCTTAAATTGGAGTAAACCATTTGTAAATAGTATAAGTTTGAGTCTGAAATCTAGCAAAACTTCAAAAGAATAAAACAAAGAGGTAGTTTGTAATTTTAAAAAAAGGTAGTTTGTAATTACTCAAAAAAATAAAGCAGTGTTTACCATTCTGGGAGCATTGCAAAAAAAAAAATTACCTGAAATACTAGTACAATTCCTTGTAATTCTGGTTTAATAGATGGATATATAAAATATAAATATGTAACAGATATAGATAGACTATGGAAGAGGGACCCCCAAGGGCAGTAAAGGCATAGACAAAAATAAGAGAAAAAGCATGCAAATTTATATTACATACCTTGTAATTTAGTATTCATGAAGTTTTTAATCACCTTGGAAATAGAAGTTACAGGAAAATAGGAATTTTTAAAAAAGAATTTTTGGCTGTAGGCCAGATGAGTGGCACACACCTATAATCCCAGCAGCTAGGGAGACTGAGGTAGGAGGATTGCAAGTTCAAAGCCAGCCTCAGCAAAAGCAAAGGCACTAAGCAACTCAGAGAGACTCTGTCTCTAAATAAAGTACAAAATAGGGCTGAGGATGTGGCTCAGTGATAGAGTGCCCCTGAGTTTAATCCCTGGTTAAACTTGCCCCCCCCCCAAAAAAAGAATTTTGGCTGTATATAAGAAAATGATCAATTATGAAGTAGAGGGTGAGTTTTGTCTATTGTGAGATGAAAAAGTCATAACCAGGCTTAAGACTACATCCCTTTGGCTAGCTATTTCTTAAATTATGTCAGATTCAGCTCAGGGGTCATCTCTAGAAAACTGTTCCTGCACTAGGTCAGAATCCTTCTGTTGTAGCATTGTGAACAGAGCACTAACATAGCACTTGGAATATTTTAGGGAATACATCTTTTTAAATGTCTTTTCACCTTCCAGATTGAAGCTCCATGATCATGTATCATTTACTGTTGAATCACCAGTTCTTGACAAGAATTTGGTAATAGAACATTCTCAGACAATGTTTTTCTTTAAACTTTCCCCTTTATAGATTTTCCTATGTCTTTATGTTGTACTTGTTTCTTTCATTATAACATCTATAATACTTAAAAACATTTTTTACATGTATGTCCTTCCTACTAAGAAATGTACTTCTTGAGGGAAACAACCTTATATTATTCATTTCCTTAATACTACCATCCAGTGCCTATCTTTCATTCATTGACGTCAACCATTTTTTGAGTAACCAGTCAGTATTCTACATTCTGAGAATGCCATGGTGAAAGAAACTCATCTTGTAATGGAAGAAGACAGATAATAAGCCAAGAAGTAGAGAAGACTATGATAATAATTATTAAAGACAAAGAAACATTGACATGTTAAATGATGGTTGAAAGTGAGGAATCATTACTTTGGATAGAATATTTAAGGACAGAGTCAAGAAGTAAAAATACTAGGTTTGTATATGTCACTAAATTAAATCTATTTACTACACCTTCAGAATGGGAGCAGAACTTGGTGATCACTGAGTCAAGCCTTCTCATTTTATATTTTAGAGAAAAAGTATGACTTGAAGGTGTTAGCAAATAATTTATCATTTTCTTGGTAGAGTGATTTAGAAACTTTTGGAATCCTTAGATCTCATTGGAATTCCCCTGAGATGTAAATAAGTCAATGGTACCTTTAAACCAAAGACTGGAAGGTGTGCTCATCAGACCTATTTTCTGCCCTGCTGAAGAATTTTTAAGAGGGAAGAAAAGATCTTTAGGAGATGAAAGTCCAGCGGGCTACAGTGATAAAAATAGAGAAGGTACTTACTACAAGGAGACTTGTTGCAACTAAGTAGAGGAGCCAGGAATTACATGTTAGGTTTCAATTTTTACCCTGATTTTTCTAAGATATCCATGACAGACATTTTGAATATACTGAAAAATCTGGAAATTTTTACCTATAAGCCTGTACTCCAGGAATAGCCAGTGTTTATTCTCTTAATACAAATATTTCTCTTTTTCTTCTTCTCCTTTTTCTTCCTCTTCTTCGTCTTCCAAAATTGAGATTGTATTACTTTTACATTTTTTAAATATTTGAGAAAATTAGAAAAATGAAAAGAAAAAAAGGACAACAGACACCCATGGATGTCCTCCTAAATGAGCATTTCCAGGGCGGGGGTGGTCTATGAGTGTTAAAGCTTTGACTTTTTTAAGGTATGAAACATTACAAAGTCTATAATTCATCCATAGTCAGAGTCAACTAACGTCATGAATTTGGTGTATTTTAATACTTATATTTAATTTTAAAAAATATTATTTTGTGTTTCTTTCAATGTTCATAAATTAAATCAGAATCAGCTGAAATTATTGAACTTAAATTTATGGAACTTAACTTTTTTAACTGAACATTATGTGTTTCAGCTCTATTCATGCTAATATATAGATTTATTTTACTCATAAGCCATAAATGTTAAGCTTGATGAAGTTTCACTAAACACACACACACACACACATTTATTTATATCCAGCACCCAAAAACTACCCTTGAATGTCTGTGTTTGAACTCTGTGTTTGACTTCTTTTGCCCAACATTATGTCTATTGAAATTTATCCACTTTGTCTTGCATGGCTATAATCCATTCTTTCCCATTAGTGTGGGACATTTTGTTTTCTTTAGTCAATTCAGTTTTCCAAATTTATCCATTCAATTTCTGCTGAAATTTGGGGAGTTTCCAATTTGTGAGTTATCTCAAATAGTGCTGCTATAAACATGTTTTTGTGAAAATGTTTGTGCTCTTCAGTCAGATATATGCTTAAGAGTTGAATTTCTGGATCATAGGATATGCATATATTTAGTTTTAATGATAGTTCCAAACAGTTTCCCAAAGTATTATACTAAATTACATTGTTACCAGCAGCCAGTGAAAGTTCAATTTACTCTTTTCTTGTCAATTTTTGATGTATTCTGTCTTTTTCATTTTGGACATTATATTCTGTCTTTTTCATTTTGGATATCATAATATCATATAGTGGTTTAATTTGCTCCTCCTTGATAATCAACACAGTTTTCACATGTGTTTTGGCTACTTAAATATTCTCTTCTATGATACTCTTAAACTTAAACATCCTTAAACTGTTTTGCTAATGAAGTCTAAAAATATTCATGGTCTCTATCAATCTAGATAAGGAAGGACCTTAGCGATTTAAATTAATCTCATTCCCCCCACTTGGCATTTGTATGCCTTTGACTTATCTATTTTCTCATCACAGTGAAGAAATGATAGTATTTAATTCATTGGGTTGTTGTGAGAATCAAGTTAATATATGTAAAGCACTTTGAACAGTCCCTGGTGTATCTAGTATTTACTATAAACATTTAAAGGAAAATATAGGAGAAAATATTTGTGACCTGTGTTAGGCAAAGAGTTCTTAAATAGGACCTGTAAGAATAATCCATAAAATAACAAAATTGTAAATTGGACATCTCCAAAATGAAAAATGTTTTGATTTTTAATGACACTATTGAGAGAATTGAAAAGGCAAGTCATAGCCTGGGAGAAAATGTTTCTAAATCTAAGACTTGTACCTAGAATATATAAAGAATTCTCAAAACTCAGCAAAGATTTATATAGATGCATCACTGAAGAAGATATGTGAGTGGCAAATAAGCACATTAAAAGATGTTCAACATCATTATTTAATAAGGAAATGCAAATTGCAACCATAATGAAATATCTACGCATCTATTAGAATGGCTAAAATGAAACTGGTAGTACAAGTGGTGGTGGTAATACAGAGCAATTGGAATGGCTGGTGAGAAAGAAAGGTGCCACAACTCCTCTAGAAAGTAGTTTGGCAATTTCTTATAAAGTTTAACAAATACTTGCTGCATGAAAATATTGAAATAAAAACTTATGTTCAAACAAAGACCTATATGCAAGTATGTAATAATTTTATTCCTAACTCCTTGAACTGGAAACAACCCAAATGTCTCTCATCCAAGGAAAAAGCAAACTGTGGTACATCTATAAAATAAAATATTAGTCAGCAATACAAAGAAACAAACTATTGACATATATAATAACATGGATGAAATTTACATGTACTATGCTAAGTGAAAAGCAGACTCAAAAGGCTACATGCCTTTTTATTCCATTTACAAGAAATTCTGGAAAACAAAAATTATAAGGATAAAAAATAATCAGTGGTTACTAGCATTTAGTGAGGGATCCCAGAGACAGAATTAAGAAATTTGGAAAGGACAAGTAATGGAAGTGCTTTGTAGCTTGGTTTCAGTGTGATTAAACACTCTGTATTTGTCAAGAAGTGCACACACAAAATGTATATTTTACAATATGTAAATTAAAATGTTAACATAAAAAACTTTGGGTTTTATTTCTGAGTACTGTTTATTTTGTAATCTCTTTTGAAACTCCTTTTGGGCTGGGGGTGTAGTTCAGTTGTAGGGCTCTTGCCTGACATGTGCAAGGCCCTGGATTTGATTCCCAGCACCATAAAAAAGAACAAAGTTAGTGGAACTCCTGGCTTTTGTTTTTGCAGTACTGGGGATTGAATCCGGGGGTGCTCTACCACTGAATTACAGCCCCAGCCCATTTTTATCTATTCATTCATTCATTTAAATATTTATATTTTAGTTATAGGTACACACAATATCTTTATTTTATTGTTATGTGGTGCTGAGGATCAAACTCAGTACCTCACGCATGGTAGGTAAGCGCTCTACCACTGAGCCACAACCCAGCCCTTATTTATTTATTTTTTATATTGAAGGCAATTTATTGATTTTTTTACTCTAATTTGTTATATATGATAGCAGAATGCATTACAATTCATATTATACATATAGAGCACAATTTTTCATATGTGGTTGTACACAAAGTAGAGTCACACCATTCGTGTCATCATACATGTACTTAGGGTAATGATGTCCATCTCATTCCACTGTATTTCCTACCCCCATGACCCCTCCCTTCCCTGCCCTCCCCTTTGCTCTATCTAGGGTTTGACTAATCCTCCTAGGCTCTGCCCCAAACCCATTATGAATCAGCATCCTTGTATTAGAGAAAACATTCAGCATTTGGTTTTTTGAGATTGGCTGACTTCACTTAGCATTATATTCTCCAACTCCATCCATTTACCTGCAAATGCCATGATTTTATTCTCTTTTAATGCGGAATGGTACTCCATTGCGTATATATACCACATTTTCTTTATCCATTCATCAACTCATGGGCATCTAGGTTGGTTCCACAGTTCAGCTATTGTGAATTGTGTTGCTATAAACATTGATGTGGCTGTGTCCCTGAAGTGTGCTGTTTTTAAGTCCTGTGGGTATAGACGGAGGAGTGGGATAGCTGGGTCAAATGGTGGTTCCATTTTTTTTTTTTTTTGAGACAGGATCTCACTAAATTGAGGCTGGCTGGCCTCAAACTTCAAATCCTCCTGCTTCATCCTTTGGAGTCATAAGGATTTTAGGTGTACATCACCACGCCTGGCATTCTTTTGGGTTTGGGAATTTTTTTTTTTTTTTTTTTTTGAGAGAGAGACAGAGAAGGGAAGAAAGGAAGGGAGGGAGGGAGGAAAGAGAATCCTTTTGGTTTTATGTTATGTACTCTTGAGCTTTTCCATGTCTCATAATTTTTTTATCATATTTTCATTTCTTTGTGCAATTGGATAAATTTCTCAGGACTATATTTTATTTCATTTATTCTTTGTTTTCAAAGACGGGTTTACTCCATTTTAAAGTTTTGAAATTTTCATTTCTAAGATTCCTCATTGGTCCTGTTTCAAATTGGACTTTTGTTGACGACTCAGAGCTCTCTTCTCTCAGAGATATTGGTCATATGGATTCATTCACTGTGCCAGAGGATAGTTTGGACTAGGTCTTGCCTTGTTTCTTTGGTTTTGGGGTTTTGCTTGTTTTTTGCAGATTGCAAACAGATCTCAGAGCCCAGCATTCTCATGGTGTTTTCATGTTGTTAATTCCTCAATGTAGACAGTTCTGAATCCAAAGAAAACCAAGGGTTGAGAGATACTATCATGAAACTGGAATTTGCTTGGGAAATAACACAAATATGGAAACAAAAGTCATGTCATATCCTTAGTGAAACTTGATTATATGTTCCCATAAAAAGATCTTCAATTATTTTTATACTTCTTTTTTAAAAAATATTTATTTTTTAGTTGTAGATGGACACAATATCTTTATTTCATGTGGTGCTGAGGATCGAACCCAGGGCCTCACACATGCTAGGTGAGAGCTCTACCGCTGAGCCACAACCCCAGCCCAGTTTTATACTTTTTAACCCTCCTTCCCAAATCATCTATTCCTCAGTTAGATTCTATATTGCCTTCTGTGAAAGTTTCTGCAGTTTGTTTTATGCTTAGGTAGTGTCTTTCAGAACCTTAATGAAGACTTAACCAAACTATCTATAAGTACCTACTTTATTTTTTCTTCTTTCTTTATTTAATTGGATTGAATCCAAGGTGCTTACCCACTGAGCAACATCCCCAACCCTTTTTATTTTTTGAGACAGAGTCTCAGTAAGTGGCTTAGGGCCTTGCTAAATTGCTGAGGCTAGCCTTGAACTTGCAATCCTCCAGCCTCCCGAGTCTCTGTGATTACAGATGTGCACCACCATCCTCAGTATTATTCCTTATTATTTTTAATATACCAGCATTAAGATGTTTCATAGCAGGGATTATAGGAAAAAACCAAAACACTGGGATTAATTTGCTGCACAATATTAGTTCAGTTAATTCTCTTACATGGACCTCAATTTTGCCATTTGTAAAATTAAGGAGTAAAACTGTAAATCCTATATCATAAAATTTCTATATTGTAAAATTCCCAGATTATAAAATTTCACAATTACAAAATTTGTGATATGCTAGTATTTTCTATTGCCTTCATTTAGTTTTTGACCTAGATATTTTACAGTTCCTTAAAGTGGAAATAAAATTTTTAAAGATTTCTTAAATCTTAAAATCCAAGCAATTAAATACATTCTTAAAATCAGTAGTTTATGGTGAATGAATAAAAGGCAACTTTGATTTAAAAAATAAACAAATTCCTCATATTTATTCCTTTATTTTCTTTACTTGCCTCCTTATAGTGATTAATAATATGAATATATGTATTATACTGGGTATTGAATCCAGAGACTATCCCTGAGCTACATTCCCAATCCTTTAAAAAATTCTTTAAATTTTTTTAAAGTTTAAAAGCTACGGGCTGGCTTCAGACTTGTGATCCTCCTACCTCAGGTGCCAGAATCTTTGAGATTACTGGCATTTACCACCACACCCAGAGATAATATGAATCCTAGAATTCATTTAAACCTTCTTGTGTCAGAGGTCTATCAGTATTGATACCAAAGGAATAACAAAAATTTACAGATAGACTGGGAAGGGAGAAAACCAGAAAAAGGAGGAGGAGGAGGAGGAGGAGGAGGAGGAGACAGCTGTACAAAAACAAATCTAGGTTTCAAATCCTGGCAAGGTCAAAGTAATGTGCCCTAGGACCTAATCTGCAGGGGGCTCCATGCCATTTTCTAACTTGGAGTTTTCAAGTTATTAGAATAACACAGGACGAATATTCAGGTCTCCCAATGTCCCAGAATCTTCACACTATACTATATTACTTGGAAGATTATATAATTTAAATTTACGTAGAGAATGAAGATACATACATGAAATAATCTTTTATAATTTTTTTGTATAGGTTTTTATAACTACTTAACCTATTTTCTGGCTGCTGGTGCTGTTAGTTTGGGAATTGGTTTCTTTGCTTTGGCATCTGCTTTGTGGTTCCTAATTTGCAAACGAAGGTAAGTTTTATTAGAATAGTTTTTCTTTTAAAAATTCAAAGGGCTTTTTCAAATAGCATAAAACTTAAGTAACTATAACAGTATTGATTTTGTAATCTTGGATTTGGTTGTAGAACCTTTGGTTGGGGAGGGAAGGCTTTATGTTTTAAATAGCCCAGGGGCTGTAGCTGTAGCTCAGTGGTAGAGCAATTGCCTAGCAAGTGTGAAGCACTGGGTTTGGTCCTCAGCACCATATAAAAATAAATAAATAAAAGGTATTGTTCCCACTACCACTAAAAATATATACATACATATATTTATTTAAGTAGCCCAAAGAACTCGAGTAAGATAGCAACCCTTATGCCTGAAAATTTTGAAGAATAATAAATCCTATTTTATTTTCAAGAAATCATGAGACTGATTGTAATATAAAGCTAGAAATTTTTAAAATTTCAACTTCAATTTGAGGTTAAAAACATTGCTGAGAGGGAAATAAACTCTTTCTTTAGGAGACAGCTAAGAAAAGAACTGACAGAATGCTTTGGTATGGTCCAGAAGTAGTAGTGTCTTGCCAGAAACAGAAAAAAATAAATATTATTTGAAACCTCCTTCCTTTCATTCTAAAATCTGGTGCTTCTAATTATTCAATCATATCAGTATTTGCATTGTCTGATGTTTAAAAATGTAAATTGCAACATGATTTTCCCACATATTACTCTTCTAATATTCCCTGTCTCAGCAAATGACTAAGTGGTACCCATCCACATGTACAAATCAGAAACCAAGAAATTATTGACTTATTCTTTCTTCCAATATTTATTGGCTGTCTGCCATTGTTCTAGGAATTGATTATACAACTGTGCACAAGTCAGACAAAGTTTCTGTCGCATAGACTTAACAGTACCACTGCAGGAGACAGATAATGAACAAATAAATAAAGTGGTCAGGAGATGCCTCACATGTGTCCAATTACAACTAAAAAAATACTTTAAAAAAGAATTTAAAGTTGAGGTATAATTAACATACAATGGAGCATACAGGTTTTAAATGCACAGTGATAAATTTCAATAAATATTTATGTAACCACCCCAGTCAAAATATGAAAATCTTTAACACCTTAAAAGTTCCATCATGTTCTTTTCCAAGCATTAATTCCTATGTCCTACCTCAGAGGCAACCATTATTCTGCTTTCTATTGTCATAGTTTAATTTTGCCTATTCTTGAACTTAAGCAGAATCATATGGACTTCTTTATGTCTGCTTTTTTCACTCACCATAATATTTTTTAGATATATTTGTTACATTTATCAAGTCTGTTGTTTTTATTTTTTAAATATTTTTTAGTTGTCAATGGACCTTTGTTTTATTTATTTATATGCAGTGCTGAGAAACAACCCAGTACCTCACACATGCTAGGCAAGTGCTCTTCCACTGAGCCACAACCCCAGTCCCCACAGTCTGTTGTTTTTAATAATAAATAGTATACCATTGTATGAACAAAAATACTTTTTTTTTTATTCTTCTATTAGTGGATTGGAATTGTTTCCAAGTTTTAGCTTTCAGGGATGGTTACCATGGACATTCTTATGTAAATTTTTTGTACACACATTTTCAATTCTCTTAGATAAATACCTAAGAGTAGAATTGTTAGATCATATGATTAAGTTTATAAGAAACTGCTGAATAGTTTTCCAAAGTGAATGTGTACTCCCAACATCAATGTATAAGAGTTCTGGTTTATATTTTTTAAAGATGTTTCTTATTTCTCTGTGAAGCCTGAATTTTAAGAAAGCAAGAATGAAAGCAGATAGATAACCTAGGAGGCTATTTAGTCCATGTGAGAGGTGATGGTGTCTTGAACTAATATTAACATAAAGGAGATGAAAAGAAAGGGCTGGATTTGGAATGTGTTTTGCAGGTAGAATCAGGACGTGTTGATAGATTAAATGAAGTAAGGAAAGATAAGTGAAATGACAGAATTAATGCTGATGTGTAAGTTTTTGTGGTGAGCAACTGAGTAATTGGTTTTCCCATTTTCTTTGATGAGGAAATTATCATAACGGGATCAATTTGGGGGAGTGGTGATAAAGTAGGAGATCAGTTTGGGATATAAGCTTGAAAGCCTATAGAAAAGTGTATTAGACATCAAAGTGGAAATGTCACATAGGCAGTTGAATATACACATAAACTTCAGGAGAGAAGACAGGGTTGAAGATTTGATATACAGAGAGTATTTAAAGGCTAGAACCTGATGAGAATAACCAGGGAGTGATTGTCAAAAGAGAAAGAGAACTAGTACTACACACTTCATCCTACCATGATGAAATCTAGCAGAAGAGTAGAAAGAATCAACAACATCTGAGGGGGAAAAAAAAAAGGTATGGTGCCAACAAAGTCAAAATTAAAAATTGTTACAAGGAGGTGTCAGCCAGTTATGTTGAAGGTGCTTAAGTTGAGAAAGATGAGGAGAAATAAATTATTTTCAGATTTGGCAATATGGAGGTCATTGGTCACTTTGATGAAGTGTTGGTGGAGAGATGGGTTCAGAAATTCTCCTTTGAGGAGAAAACAAGAGGTAAGAAAATTGACATATAGACAGCTCTTTCAAGAAGTTATTTTTGTGAGGAGAAGTTGACTAATGGTTAGTAGCTGGAGGAAAATGTGAAGCCAAAGATTGTTTTTCTTCTAAAAAGCTCCCTCTCTCTGCCCTATCCACACTAAATCCATCACCAAGTTTTATTTTACCTCAAAAAATTGCTCACACCTATTCATTTCTCTCCATTATGCCCAACCATTACTCACCCAATTTATCATTATCTCCCATATAGACCACTATAATAGAGGTTAGAACCAACCTCATACCTTCAATATTATCTTCATTCAATTTCTACACTTCAGCCAGAATTTTTCCAAATACAAATCTGATCAAGTCACCGATTCCTTCTTCTCCAGCCCCATTATATTTTAAAGGACTTCCTATTGCTTTTAGGATAACAATAAAACATGACTTTTAAGACCCTACATGCTCTGGCTACCCATAGTCTCCAGATTCACATCCTACTTTCCCTCCTGCTTTATGTGTTTCTCTTAATCTGGCTGCTAGACCATGGTACCTGATGTTTTCTCTGTCTAGAATATTCTTACTTTCACATCTTCCCTCTTCCACCAAACTCTACCTATTACTACTATTATTTCTTCAGATGCCCTTGTTCAATCCTCCCCTCCTCAGGAAAGCCTTTCTCAACCACTCTATTCAGGATAATTCCCTTTGTTACATCACACAGCACCAGGTAGCTTTCCTCAATAGCACTTTCCACAGTTGTAATTTTTCATTTCCTTGTGATTATTTAATTGTCTGTCTCCCTTACTACTATTTAAGTTCCATAAGAGCAATGACAATTCTATGAGGGTAGTGATTGTGGCTTTTTTTCCCCCTTACCACTAACACCTAGCACATCTGGCATATAATGAGTATTCAAATATTTGTTAAGTGAATTGAATTAAATAATGAATGAATGCTAATTGTTAATACCTCCTTAAGTAACATAGTATGATCTCTTGAATTAATTCGGAATTTTTCTAGTACCTCTGAAAGAAGAAATGGTAATCAGCATTATTATTATTTGGGGAGGGCAACAATTTAGGAACTTCTATCAATACATTATCATTCCCCATCTGTAGGTTATATTAAGGTTTACTCATGTGTTGTGTACTCTGTGGATTTGCACAAATGTATAATGACATTCGCATCTGAGAGTATCACAGAGCATTTTCTTTGCTCTAAGAACCCTCTGTGCTTCATCTATTTCCTTCCTCCCTCCAGCAACCACTGATTTTTTTTTACTGTCTACACAGTTTGTCTTTTCCAGATTGTCATACAGTATGTAGCCTTTTCAGATTTGCCTCTTTTGTTCTAAAATGTGCATTTAAGTTTCCATGTCCTTTCATGACTTGACAGTTCTTTTCTTTTTAGCTCTGAATATTATTCCATTTTCTGGAAGAATTATTTCTTAAATCCTTAAGTTTATAATAACTGTTTGAAACCACATTCCTTTGTACTTAATTATCTGCCTTTGATCAGCTGAGTTTTTACTTGCCACTTCATTATTTTTAATCCTTCCTCATTTGCTTGCGGTTGCATGGATAATAAAAGATCACAGGTACTCTTCCTTTGTAAGTCATTAATTTCAATTCAGTTTCCTTCTTACTTTTTTCCAGAGATATTATTAAATACCAAAAGTGACCAATGAAATTCATTTAATTTTCTTTGCTATGAAAGACAAATTTATAAAAAAGGCTAATTAACATTAAAGTCAACTAATTATCTCACAACCAGAAAAAAAAGTGACTCCTGGTTAATACTCAAACTAGAAATATTGACCCTTTATAATTAGCTTAATTTATATTCTTTGAATAAAATAGATATAATAAAATCTAACATGTTAGAAGAAAGTATATAAATTGGTGAGTGTTTTTAAAAATAAATATGCTGTAATATGTTTATTCTGATATTTAAACCCTTAGTATAAATATTAGAAATAATTATTTAATTGGTTTATGACCTATTTCATGTTTAATAATATTCTCTATAAAATATCTTTCAGAGAAATATTTCAAAATTCCAAATTTAAAGCAACTTGTGAGAGATTCAGGCAAAAACCATCAAAGGCAAAGATGAAATCTCATTCTCAATGTGTTTTTATTTCTCGAAATTTTCATACTGGAAGATTCCAATTACAGGTATGGTGTAATATTTTATACCAATCTTTCCAAAAATTTTGTATCAAGTAATTAGCATTATTGTCTTTAAATTTGAAGGATTGGATATCCACTGTTTTTTTAATGTTTAGTTTTTAGTTTTTTTTAGGTGGACACAATATCTCTATTTTATTTTTATGTGGTGCTGAGGATCGAACCCAGTGCCTCACGCATGCCAGGCGAACATGCTACCACTTGAGCCACATCCCGAGCCCCATACTGTTGTTTTTTAATTTGAGGGACAATAATATGAAGCCAAGTTTAAATTACCCAAGCTAGTTAGAGTTTATACTATAGGAAAACTGAAAACTTAAATGAAAATATATTCCATCTAAAGTTGCTTTTCTGTGCTTTTAGCCCATGAACCTACTTTCCCTATATTGGAATTGTTATAGGGCTGAAAATTATGGTGTATGAAAAACTGAAAACAAAATTATCAGGCCAGTCAGAGGAAAAGAAATGAAGATAAGAGTTACTCGAATACCCACATAACCCAATCAAACCAATTGAAATTGAATTCAGTTTGCCAAAGAGCTGTTAGCCTTTTATTATATCCCAACCCTTGGGCCCCTCTATTGGGGATGATAAGCATCCTTCAAGGGGCTTGTTTAGTACAAGTGAGAAAGGCAGACCATAATTTACTTTGTGCTATATGAGAAGTGTCAAAACAATGTTATGTGGACAAAGTAAAACAAGCAGAGACTAGTAGAAATTTGAAACTGTGATATAGCTAAGCAAAACAAATATATCAATGGTCACAGAGCATTAATAGATAGTGACAAACTGATAGGATGCCAAAGTTTCACTCTGCATCTTGAGTAATGAAGTCAAGTTGAACTCAGTGTTGGTTCATTTAATAAACATTTTAGTGCCTTTCATGTGGCAGTGCTAATTTTGCCATCGAGCCTATTTATAAACGAATAAGATATGAGCCTAGCCTTAGAGAGAAGAAAACCATACAAACTAATAATTACAACAATGTGATAAGAACTCACAAAGTTTTAAGAGTGCAAATAAGGAAGTCTGAATTGAGGAGGGCTTCAATAGAAGACCTTTTGAACTGGGTTTTGAGAAATGAATGAAAGTTTGCCAGGAAGAAAGGGAACGAAGGAAATTTTTTGTTCAAAAGTAAACATTACCATTTGGAACCTAGGGTTCATAGAAGGGAGAGGTAGGAAACAACTTTGGAGATAAGATTTAATGGACCTCCTAAGAATTTTGGATTTTGTTCCTTTGTCTATACAAATCCACGGAAAGGGATTACAGGATTATGGTCAAGAGCATAGATTGTAAAGCCAGATTCCACAGGTTTAAAACCTGGCTCTACCATTACTGTGTAATCTTAGGCAAATTACTTAACTTCTCTGTGTCTGTTTGCCTGTGTTTCTGAAAAGTGAGAATAATTCCCCCTCCACTGAGTTGTTGTGGGAGTAAATGAATTAGTATGTGAAAAGCATTCAGAATATTGAGCACCACGGAAGTACATTATTACTATTACGGCAAGGTTCCTCCCCGCCCAAGAGGACAATTTATTATTTTTATGTACACCCAACAGTGTACATTTATCCCAAGTTTAGTGGCAAGTTCTTTATTTAGCCTTTGCCTTTTCCAGCTTGGCAATGACAACCACGGGTTTTGGACCCAGGATGTTGCCTCCCCATATGGCTATGGACCTCATATCTGTCAATGTAGTTGGTTCTAATAGCTTTCACTGGCTTAGTCAGAGCTCCTTTGTCTTCCAAGTTAACCTGTGTGAACGCACAGTGATGCATGTCTTCCTGTGAACCAGACGTCCCAGCCTGACCTTCCCCTTGATGATGCAGTAAGGAACTCCCACCTTGGGACACTAATTTTGCCAAGCAGGAAGGGCAGGAAGACAACCAGCTCCATGGGATCCACGACATGTGCAATCACCACCAGCTGACCCCTTGCTCCAAGGACCAGCGGTCTCTTCGTAGGGACATCCCTTTTGCCAGCAGCTTTCTTCTCAGCCCAGGCCAACAGCTTCTGCTTCTTGCCCTGGTTCATCTCTGGTCTGTACTTGTGGGCACGCTTAAGCTGCTGGGTGACTGTTAATAACCCCTTGCAGCTGCAGCCGGATATAGCAGGCCATTTTACAAAGCGGGTAAGGTCCCTTTTGGGCTGAATGTCCTGTCCTATGCCAAAGTTCTTCAGCTTCTTCTCGAACAATGGGTTCACCACCTTCTTGGATTTCTGCTTTTTGACCAGGGTGGAGGCCTGGGCCACCTTTTTCCCCTTGGCCTTCTTCCTTTTGGCATCTTGGGCGGCTGGAGGAGAAAGAAAAGAGAAAGAATTGTCTGCTGCAAGATATTAAGCAGATGAATATAAAGATCAAATTAATTCAGAAGGTTATTTGCTCTGACTTTCAAATGAAGGAGTTTGAAGTAAAGGTTGCATTGCAGAGAAAAATATTGTTTCTATGTGTCTATTTGATATTTATTTAATTTATTGAGCATTTTGCTAGACATTTGGTTGGGTACTAGTGATATAATGATGCCATCATATTTAATGGTGGAATCACCACCAAATAGAAAATTACAAAACTGTCAGAAGTGAAATTTTAAGTAGTTTATTAATCATTCAACAAATATGTGAAAAGCATTTATATGCTAGGCATTGTTTTAGGCAACTGGGAATTTGGTGATAAACAAGTGAGACTGTATTCCCTGCTTTTACAAAGTTCGTGGTGTAGTGGGAGAGAGAATGTACAAGTAGACATAAAATTTTCAGGAATATTTTTAAAAATATTTTCAATTGATAAATATTTTTATCATTTATGATATACAACATTTGTTTTGAGATTGTATATACACTGTACAATAGCTACATTAAATTAGTAAATATCTGTGTTACCTCACTTATTTTTTTTATTTTTGGTGAGAACACTTAAATCTACTCTCAACCGTTTTCAAGAATATAATACGGCCCTGGCTCAGGGCTGCGGAGCCCGCGGAGGCTGCTTCTTGGACCCTGCTACTATCAGAGCATACACCAAACACTAAGCGGCCGAATTCCGGCTCCCGGAACTGAGCCCGCGGGGGCTGCTTCTTGGAGCCTACACTTATAGGAGCTTACACCGAGCACGGAGCGGCCGAGTTCCGGCTCCCGGAACTTCCCTGGACCGGGGCTAGGAGCCCGCGGAAACTGTGTCTCGGTCCGGGTCCTGCTGAGGGCAGGTCAGGACTCACCCATTGCTTGGGTTGCCTGGCAAGGGGAACGAAATGCTGCCATTCGCATAGGATACCAACATGGCAGAGATCTGATGTCAGCAGAAAGCGGTGGAGGAGAGATCTTCATCAATACCAGCAGTGACATAAGCAGTTGGTCTTCTGGTAAGGGGGGTGAGGCTCAGTCACCCGAGTCTCCTCAATTTGTCCTCGAGCCGGAGGGAAGGAGCCGGGCCGCCGCCAGCCCCCGGAGCAGGCCCAGCGGCTCACCAGCGTGGTGACCGCGTGACCCCAATTGGAGAGGGGGCGGAGCGGAGCCGCCACCCACACCCGCCAGGTGGGCAGACCCACGACCCAGTAGTACATGGGCGTGGTAGGAGGGGCAGGGCAGAGCCGCCCTTCGCGCTTGCAAGGTAAACAGACCTGTGACAGCCTGGCGGGTCAGGCCCAGTGGCCTGCCAGTGTGGTACACACGTCACCCCAACTCGAGTAGGGGCAGAGCAGATCCTTATCCCATGCCCGGATCAGGCCCTGCCGGTGTGGTGGTCACGTGACCCCAATTGGAGTGGGGGTGGAGCGGAACCGCCACCCGTGCCCGCAGGGTGAGCAGACCAGTGACCAACCTGCAGATCAGGCCCAGGGGTCCGCAGGCGTGGTAGGAGGGGCAGGGCAGATCCGCCGCCCGCGCCTTCAAGGTAGGCAGACCTACAACAGACCGGCGGATCAGGCCCAGGAGCCTGCCGGCGGGGTACAAACACCACCCTAATTGGAGTAGTGACAGAGCAGAGTCGCCTCCCTTGCCAGGAACAGACCCAGCATCCTGCAGGCGGGGTAGTCACGACACCCCAATTGGAGTAGGGGCAAAGCAGAGCCTCCACTCGTGCCCGAAAGGTGGGCAGATCTGCGACCGACCAGCAGGACAGGCCCAGTGGCCTGCTGGTACGACAGACACGTCACCCCAATTGGAGTAGGGGCAGAACAGAGCCGCCACCAGCTCCCAGAACAGGCCCAGTGACCTGCCGGCGTGGTAGCCACGACACCCCAATTGGAATAAGGAGAGAGCAGAGCCGCCGCCCGCACCTGCAGGAAAGATACGCAAGCAGTATGAAAAGACAAGGAAAGAAAGGACCACAAGCAATGCAGGTCAACGCAACTTTAGAAGAGGTAACAGCTGCAGCAGATGGAATGTCAGAATTCAGGATATACATGCTTCAGATGACCTGGAGTATCAAGGAAGACATTAAACAGCAAAATCAGACAATGAAAGATCACTTCGACAATGAATTACGCAAACAAATCCAGGAAGCAAAGGATCAACTATACAGGGAGATAGAGGTTATAAAAAACAAGCAATCAGAAATCCTAGAAATGCAGGAAGCAATAAACCAACTTAAAAACTCAATGGAGAATACTACCAACAGAGTAGAACACTTAGAAGATAGAACATCAGACAATGAAGACAAAGTATTTCAACTGGAAAAGAACATAGACAGCTCAGCAAGACTGTTAAGAAACCATGAGCAGAACATCCAAGAAATATGGGATAACATTAAGAGACCAAACTTAAGAGTCATTGGGATACAGGAAGGTACAGAGCTCCAAACCAAAGGAATGAGCAGTCTATTCCATGAAATAATACAAGAAAACTTCCCAGACTTGAAGAATGAGACAGAATCCCAAATCCTAGAAGCCTACAGGACGCCGAATGTGCAAAATCATAAGAGATCCACACCTAGACACATTATAATGAAGATGCCCAACATACAGAATAAGGAGAGAATTTTAAAAGCTACA